AAAAAAAAAAAAAAAAAAACATTACACTGAGCAGCTCTAAAAAGACGGGGAATGGGGAAGTGGCAGAGACCCTCTGCAACTTCCTACAACAAATTTTGACTATCTTCCGAACACAGACAAGAAAGAGGCAATGCGCGACGGACAGACTGGAATACTAGACAAGACTGCATACAGAGAGAGACAGAGAGAGAGAGAGAAAGACAGAGAAAGAGAGACAGAGAGAGAGCAAAAAAAAGACACAGAAGGAGCAGTTATTCTCTCGCAGCATCAACAGACAAAGAGAAAGACACAGAGAACGACAAAGACAAAGAGAAAAAGAGAGAGAGAGAGAAAGAGAAACACACAGGGAGAAATCACAAAGGGGTCAGATTCCTGCCAAAGAGAAAGACGGAACGTTCAAGCGCGAGTCAGATTGTGAGGGGGTATTCTCCAAATACCCCCGTAAGTTCGAACATATCTCAAAATGTCCCTTAGCAAATGTGAACCCTGTGGAAAGACCTTTTCGGCTGGCATATTTGTGCTATCCCCCTGTCCCATGAGTATGTGATTTCATTCTTCGCTGCCCTGTTTCACAGTATGTTTTTCTCGCCGTCCTTCGCTGCAGCGGGTCCACTTGTTACTACTAAAGAAAGGAAGGAAGAAAAAGTGATCCATGAGCCATTCCATTCTATTTTTTCCCCTAATGAATAGCAAACTAAAGGAAGTTTAATTAACTTTAATAAACAAACGATTCTGACGGTTGAAACGTGAAGTTGATATTGACAAGATGAGGTTGTAGGAAGGACAGCTATAAGCTGAGGTTGAAACAGAGAAGGAAAGCTATAAGCTGTGAGGTTAAAGGAAGTAGAGCTATAAGCTGGCTGCTGAGGTTGAAGGAAGGAGAGCTATAAGCTGCTGAGGTCGAAGCTGAGGTTGAAGGAGCTTAGGAAAACTCGAAGCTGAACGCAAGGATGACACACGTAAAGCAAGAAATGGCCAAAAAAGAAGAAGAAAATTTTTCAAAAAAACTGAAAGTTGGAAGGAAGGAGAGCTACAAGGTGCAGTTGAAGGAGCTAAAGAGAGATATAAGCGGAGGTTGAAAGAGCTAAAGAGAGCTATAAGCTTGAGGTTGAAGGAGCTAAGGAGAGCTATAAGCTTGAGGTTGAAGGAGCTGAGCAGAGCTATAAGCTTGAGGTTGAAGGAGCTGAGGAGGAGAGCTATAAGCTGAGAGGTTGAAAGAGCTAAAATGATAGCTATAAGGAAAAACAGGGGAAATAAGAACAAGGACAGCCATAAGGAAAAGAAGAAAAAAAAAAAAACTGTCCTTCACAGCTCCCCAGTCCCAAGAGGCTTCCGGGAATCATCTCCGCTCGCCCATGCCACGTAATCCTTTTCCAGCTGCAAAAAAGGAAAGCGAAAAAGAAAAAAGATACGAAGGACAGCAGAAGAACCGAAGTCATGTCAACTCCAAGAGAAGTCTTTCAGCCAAAAATAGCACACCGCCACCGCCCTGCTCCCACAACAGCCCC